ACATCACCCATCTTGTGCCGATCGGTCTATACAAATATTGGTCTAGCCCTATATGCCCAACATGCCTAAAGGCGTGGAAAAGGGTCCTTTACTTACTTTACCTAGATTCTAATACACCAATCAATATAGCAAATACATCTATGATAAAACCTGCTGAAAACTCAAATAAAAGACTTAAAGATAGACATCACTAAGAGAGCCTGGTTGGTTGAAAATTATCTGGAATATTGAATTTTACCTCGTCTAGTGCATGGCCCTTTATGTTATGTAACAACAGAGTATGGTGTGTGTAACGACATTCCTGTCCACCCAGCACTGAAGTGTCATCTCCATGGCACCCATGTTATTGAGCTCTACTTCCAAAGCTCCAAAACCAGTGCAGTATGTAAAGCTAGTCAATCAATCATTCATTCAGCAGCTCCTTTACAGAGTATCGCTCTCTTCACAGCAGGCCTGAAAGTCTCTCAGCTAATTCTCCAGCCCTATGTGCTTTCATAGCCAATGCATCTTCAATATCCTGTACCCAACTTCACAGAGGTTGGCCTCTGCTTCCCTTTCCAGAAACTGCACCTTCCATCACCGTTTTCTCTCCAGCCCAGCATGCAGCTTGACATGGGCACAATACTTGAGCTTTCAAGACAAGATGCTGTTTATGAGCCGGTTCTCTGTGATGTTCAGAGTTTCTGCATTTTTTCTTCTTCTTGGTTCACAATTTTGTAATAATTTTTTATTTTATTTCAAAAGCTCATATTTTCTGTTTTCAGGCTGAGTAAAAGTCCATAACTCACAGATGCAAGAATAGACCCACTGCCTCCCCAAAACCATGTCGTAAGAGTCGACTAATTGGGGAGCATCCTTTGAAGTCGGATTGCATCTGCCAGAGAGGCAAGGAACCAACAGTCTGTATTCAAGAGAATGAGATCTGTAAAACTGATGCACACGCATCACTCAGGTTCTGGAGCAGGACTGCAGTTCAGTAGTGGATGAGCAACCAGAACTTTCCGCCAGAGTGTACAACTGGTGAACGCGAAGAAGAAGAAGAAGAAGAAGATATGCAGGACTTCTAGAGTATGCTTCAGAAAATACAAACTGTGGTTCTATCCACAGAGTGGCTTACATAGCTGGATAAGATTCAGATGAGGAGCACAAAATAGATTTTGTGGAAAGTTTAGCACTCTATGTAACTTTATCAGATTAAAAGAAGTAGTCTATGGATAGATTGCTCCATGAACAGGTTCTAAAGTCTAGACTAGTTTAAGACCTGTTCCTGTAACCACAAGGGCCCTGAAGACATATTGACCTGTACTGTTGACACACCAGCAATAGCTTCCTTGGCATTGTTTGTACTTGTACTCTCCTGTCTCCTGGCAACTAGGGACATAGACATCTTTTACCAGATAGGGTGTTGGATCTTTGTCTGTGAATGAATTACGGCAATAATGTTATTAAAAGATACAATGATGCATGGCTACTACTCTGTGAGGGAGAGGGGGAAAGAGGAGAAGAGAGAGATGTTAGTTTTTTTATGTATGTGACAGATGTTATCACTGTGTGTGTGAGAGTGATGTTGTTATTGTGTGTTTAAAGGATTTATTGCCATGTCATTAGGTCACAGAAGCCAGCTGCAGGCCTCGGAAATGAGATAGAGAATTAGCCAAAGTCCGCAATCACATTTACCCAGCCCTCCCGAGTAATCACAGTTTTGGGTTTGGACATGTATGCACGGGAGAAATCGGCCACATGGCAAGCATGGAAGGCTAATAATATTTTAGGGACGACCCAGGGTGCGCTGGGAAGACAACATGACAGGTCCCAACTGCAGACTGGAATGGAGCTCTGATAGAGACGTCTGTCTCTCTGAAACCTCTACACCCAAGGTAGCCTACCTGACTTAGGCCACTACCTGCCCACGTGCCACATACCTGCCTGCAATATCATGGAGGCCTGTCCAGGTTTTTTTCTGTATGTCTGCAGACTTAGCTCTGTGTGTGTTTCTGAGCAAGCATCTGTGGCATGAAGTCTGTTCGGTGTGTGTGATGCTTCAGTTTCAGTTGAAAACATTAAAACATTTGTTAAGGGAATTGTTTTTAGTTCATGTAAAGTAAATAATGTTCAATATTATTATTTTTCTGACATACAGAACAGGTGTCTTCTGCTATAGTGAAATAAGCTACTTCTTCTGCTACATTGAAATAAGCCACTTTTTCTGCTACAGTGAAATGAGCCACTTCTTCTTCTACAGTGAAATGAGCCACTTCTGCTGCTGCAGTGAAATGAGCTACTTTTTCTACTACAGGGAAATGAGCCACTTATTCTGCTAAAGTGAAATAAGCCACTTCTTCTACTACATTGAAATAAGCCACTTCTTCTGCTACAGTGAAATGAGCCACTCTAAGATAGCGTCTTGGTAGTTGTATCAAGGCATCCACTAGTTATATCTGGAGGGTTCAGGCAGGTTCAGTGTGAAGACAATGGCTTGAATCATTACAGAAGTCCACTGTGCGTGGAGTCACCTTTATTTTTGTTCCGGGACACGCAGGCATCGATGGAAATGAAAGAGCTGACAGGTTGGCTGGATCCGCTATCACTACCGACGGTCAGCCTATGGATCATGCTGATATTATCAATGCCCTCAGAGAAATGGGAAGGATGGAGGACTTTGGTGGCAGTGAATCCACATCACTCGCCAGAATGGCAGACTTGGAAATTAAGATCGGCATAGCAAAAAACGAGACGCACACCAGACATGCCAGAAGACTTGTTAATCAACATAGAACTGGTACTATTAGCCATTGGACGTTGGGGTTCATACTGAGGGGAGGACCTGAGCACATATGGACATGTCCGGAGTGCAATGATGATAACCCAACTAACTAACTATCCACTAGTTATGAGGTAACCTGCTGTCCAGTGTAGTTTGATGAGAGATACTAATTGCTCAAATTAAGTGACATTTCACCAATGATAGCTGATTTAAAAAAAAATGTTTGTTTGTCCCCACATAATATCAATAGTTTACAAATATGAAAATAAAAACTCACCAATGCAAGTATATGTTACCATACAAGAATTGTGGAAAGCATAACAGTCTTCACTAAATGTAAGCTTGCAGATTTTATTACTGGAACTGCAGGGGGAATTCTGAAACAGTTTCAAATCTTGTATTATTTTAGAGTTCATCTCCTTGTGACATCTTTATTTATCAGAGACAGAAAAAAATATGTTTCAAAATGCAGCCTAAAGCTGTTCTATTGCATATGTACTAAAGATTTCTGGACTTCTCAGTCATTCATGATCATCAAGATATAGCTGACCGTTTCTATAACATTGCTCTCATCAGGGTATGTCTTCTTCTTTTTCTTTTTCTTCTTCGCGTTCACTGGCTGTTAACTCTGGCGGAAAGTTCTGGTTGTTCGACCAATTCTGGACTGCAGTCCTGTTCCAGAACCTGAGTTTTGCGTGTGCATCCATTTAACAGATCTGACTAACTTGTATGCAGACTCTTGGTTCCTTGCCTCTCAAGCAGAAGCACTCCGACTTTAAAGGAAGCTCCCAGTTAGTCGACTCTTACGACAGGCTTTTGGGTAGGCAGCTTTTGGGTGTGTGTGCGCGGGTGGGTTAGTGGGGGTGGGTAACTGTGTGTGAGTGGGTGAGTGCTATTGTGTGGGTGGGTGGGTGTTGTTGTGTGGGTGGGTATTGTTGTGTGTGTGTGTGTGTGTGTGTGTGTGTTGTCGTTGTCGTTGCTGTTGTTTGTGTCGCCTCTCTTGATCCCTTTGACTCGTAGGTTCCCGTGCAAAGACACCTTACTGCACTGTTATTAGGTTTTCTCAAAGTGTTCCCTCTCCAGTGCCAACTTTTTTGCCTGATCTCTTGATTCACTGGAATTAGCTAAGAATTTTTCAAGTATTACAATATTTTATTATGTTGTAGTTTCCAGTGTATTTGTTCCCAGCTTTGTGTGTTTATTTCACAGGAACTGAGCATGTCAGAGTTCTCATATACATCAGACATATTATGCAAGAAACAAGCATAACTTGAAATTTAAAAAAATCCCAAGTAAGTGATACTGAATTTGAAATTTCAAATACATTTCTCCCCATGTGGGTTTCTGAGGTCCCATTTTGGGGGGAAAAATTAACAGATTTGCTGCCTCCATGACTGTGCATAAGGCAACAAATTAGAGCTTTGCTGACATCAGATGTCTTCATTAGCTTACAAAGTTCATGTCCGGCAATATCTTTCTTTTGACCTGAAGTTCTTGTAGTCTTTTTATTGTTGCTGATTCTCCATTGTCTCCTGAATCACGTACTGGTCCTGCCTCCTGGAGAGCACTGAGAACAATGCTCTAATTTATTCCTTGTGCTAAGGAACTCAACTGCCCGACTGCTATAGTTTAGAAACTGTTTTTAAGCTAATACTAATACTGTCTCTATGGATGCTTACCTGACAAGGATTTGAACTCGGAGAACCTGAAATATTTGAAGCAGACATGTAAAAATTTTATAAATGTATATTTAAAAAAAAGGAGAACATTTTAATGTGTTATTTTAAATAAAAAATTTCAAGGAATTCATAAACTACTTCAACTAATTATTGCCTGGGTCTGAGAAGTTAAAATAATGTGAGACAGTATAATTTGAAGTAAGAATTCACTGATCAGAAAACAGATCACACAACGTTGCTCATCTTTGGCATAGTCAAAAGTGAGTTGGCCATCTTTAAATTGTCATTATGATGTCACCATATTTGTCTGCACTGTGATATCACATGCTTAACACTCCTGACATCCTTAACAACAATACTGATAGTTTACAAGACATGGTTATTGTCATTTTTATCACACTTCTCACGGTTTTAATTTGAAGCCACCTTGTAACAAATTAAAAAGGGCATTTTGAGTTCACAAAAAACAGATTTTGTTACTTGAAACTAGCAAACATTGTGATGAGTGAATAGGTTTCTGAATTGGTTTCTGAATGAGAACATTGGCACTGAAAGAATCAAAACTTACAGCTGGCATAGCATTCTTCAGGTGAGCTGAAGCGGTTGTCATTGCCCCCACACATACCCCAGACAAACATGTCGCAGCGACCAGAAGCGGAATCAAAGTACCACTGAGGCATGAAACCTTTACAAAGTCCCTTCGAATATGGCAGCTGACATCTTTCAGGATAATCTAAGATGTGGAAACGATTAAATTAGTGCACAAAAACCTGAGACAATGTAACAGTGGATGTATGTAATACGCTGTGGTGTTGTAGTGGTTAGTGTGCTTGTCTGTCAAGACAGTTGTGCGGGTTCAAACACCATAACAGCTAGAATTATTTTGTTTCCCCCCGAGTGGGGCTCTGGGGTCAACCCAGCCTCTAAAATTGAATACCAATTGATTTTCATCTTTTCTGGGAATTATTTGAGAAGGAAATGGCAAAGAGGAAGAGAACTGGTCACAGCATGGCACAGAACATGCTAACGCTCTACACTTTGACACCACAACAGTAGAAGCTGCTTTGGAACTAACTTAATAATTTTTCATATAAACAAACACCTCAGTGGAAGCCACCATGGTGTTGTCCTGTGGTTCTGAAGGTTATGAGTTCGAATCTGCATGAAATCAGGTGTTTTCAGACATGACCTTGGCTCCCAGGTTGACCCAGCCTCAAATGGCTACCAGGTAAAGTCCTAGGAAGTAAAGGCGGTCGTCATGATGTTGACCATATCACCTATCTTTTCCTCCTAAAATTGGGTCCTGGAAACGTATAGGATATGAGTATACCATGGTACCTACTACTGTCAGAAAGAGCCATGCTGAAAAAACGTAATGAGCTCAAATGAAGTGTAAGACCTGGCAAAACATGGAGTGTTCATGTACCCAAAAAAAAAAAAGGAAGACCAACACATAAAACATAATAAAAAAGTATCACTTATCTTCCTCCAACACGTCACTAAGGTAAGTAGAGGAATATAAGAAGAAGAATCTACCTTTTGCAGGAAACATTTACCTCTGCTTAGAGATCTTAATTTTGAAGGGCTTCCGGTAGAATTTTTCACGACATCCATATCTACATTTTTAGTCAGAGCCACATTTATATGGCGTTCCTGAATAGCGTCCATTGCTCGTTTCTGCTCTTGCTGACATAAAGACAGACCTGAAATAAAAATTTTACATTTCTCACCAACAGAATGGCTGAAATTATTTAGAAGGTTCTTTGCAGAATGTTACTATCCACATGACCAATATGAAGCCTCCCCCCCCCCCACTTCTCATACACCTCATTTTCAGAGTATCATCAATGACCTCTGTCCACATTCACAATTTGAGTCTTGAACATAACTTGCTTGTGGGTTGCGGGGCCAAACAATGTGGGGGGGGGGGGGGGGGGGGGGAGAGCACCTATTGCCTCCTTAACAAGGAACGAACGAACGAACGAACGAACTTTATTTTCAAAGGGTCACAAATTGGGCACGCAGGCCCGTCTTACATTCGGCCCTTCCAGTCAACCATCTTTCGCACAGCAGTTGTATTTTACACAAAAGCATGAGTTGTAAAGTGCATGCAAAAACCCGCGCGTGCATACATACACTCACATACACGCGCTCACCCACTCACTTACACACACAAACATGCATGCATACATTACATACATACATACACAGATACATACAAACAAACATGCATACACACATACACACAGGCATACGTACACACAAACATACATACATAGATACAAACATACATTCATACGTAATACAGGCATACACGCATACAGTCATAAATACAGTCATGAATGGAGACACACACATGCACACACGGACACTCCCACAGAGACACACACACACTCAGACAAAAATACAGACACACACACAGACACTTACATATAAACACACACAGGGGAACACACAGCACACATATTTACATTTGTGCTCACACACTGACACACACACCACACATACGCAGACAAACATGCAGACACATACATACAGCCACATAGACACACACGCAGTCAAACACACACACACACAAATACAGACAAACAGGCAGACAAACACATACTGACACCCACAGAGACAAACACGCAGAAATGCATAATCATTCAAACACATAGAAATACACACGCAGACACATATATTCAGCACGCACAGACATATACTCTGACATGCAGACACATACAGACAACAAAGGGGCACACATAACACACAGAGAAACACGCATAGACATGCACAGACAGACAGACACATGCTGACACATACACTCACGCAGACAGACATACAGACACCCACACACAGAGATACATACATACAGCCTCATAGACACACCCGCAGACAAAACACATAAACATACACAGGCAAACATGAAGACAAACACATACGGGGACACACACAGACACAAACGAAGATATACACACAGTCACATCAAATATGCAGAAAAACACAGAGACACACACACATGCAGACAAACACAGAGACACACACACAGACACATATTCACAGCTACATGTATCCAATCGCACACACACACATGCAGACACACATACACAGCAAAGAGGCACACTTAAACACACAGAAACCAGTTCACACTGAAACATACACGTGGACATACGCGCGAACACACACACATTCGCACATACACAAGGACACAGACGCATACATTCGCAGACACACACCCAGATACACAAGCAGACAAACAACATACAAGGCGACTAATGAAGGGAGTTATCTTTAAAGTTGGAGTGCATCTGCCTGAGAGGTGGGGAATCAAAAATCTACAAACAAATAAGCCAGATGTGTGACATGGATGTGCATACAAAACTCAAGTTTTGGAACGAGACCAGAGACCAGAACAGATAAACAACCAGAACGTCTTCTCCTATGCTGGTATTTGTGACCCTGTCCCTTTTTGTGTTGTTGACACATTTTGCAGGTGGTTGTTTTTCTCTTCCTGTAACCCACTTATTGTCCATGTTTGGCATTAACAGCACAAAGTTGGAATGAAGATAGGGGATTAAGATGCTTTTAATCATTTAGACATTTAAATTAGTGATACAACTTTAGGTTTTCATACTAAGAAACATACATAAGGGAGTTGAACGGTTGTAGACCATGAGATATACAAGAAGACATTCCCATGTGGGTTCCAGGGTCCTAATATAGGGAAAACAAGAATAGACCCACTGCCTACTCAAAAGCATGTCGTAAGAGTCGACTAATTAGGAGCTTCCTTCGAAGTCGGAGTGCATTTACCTGAGAGGCAAGGAACCAGCAGTCTGCACACAAATTAGTCAGATCTGTCAAACGGATGCACACACAAAACTCAGGTTCTGGAACAGGACTGCAGTTCAGAAGTGGACAAACAACCAAAACTTTCCGCCGGAGTTTACAGCTGGTGAACGCGAAGAAGAAGACAAGATGACAATAGAGAGATAATATCCAGACAGATCCACAAACACTTCGTGACACCAACTGTAAAGAGAAGGTCAACCAGAGAGATGGTAGAGGTGGGTGATATCTGCAGCAATGAACCTCAAGGGTTTGGAATGCTGAAGAAGAAGAAGTTAATAAGAAACAGATTTTTTTCACAAGTTGATTTCTCATATCAAATGGTCTAAATAATGAGGAAAGGTTTGAATAATGAAATGAACTCTACCTTCATTGCAGTTGACCATTATTCCATCAGAAGTGAAGTACTCAGCTTCGCATCCACCACATGGGTTGATGTGACACTCAGCTTCAGGATATGCTGAGCATGTTTGCCTACACAGAGCTCTATCACAACAGTGGAATTCCTGATCTTTGTTACATACTGCACAGAGAAATAATCAAGACATAATATTTTATTTAAACAGCAAATCAGAAATATTTTTTCCCTAAATATTTGAAACCCTGTGTAATGTATTTTAATTTCCACAAGGGACTGTGATAAACATGCTGTGTGTTTTTCGTTGGCACAGGATTGGAGCAAAGATGGGTGACCCATTTGCTATGAAGCTGAAACTAAGACCACCAGACGACCAGACATTTTAATTACCACAGAGCAGGTCAATTATTGATTTATCTTTTTTTGTATGTTACATGTTGTGGTGCAATTTAAAAAAAAAAATATTTGTGTGTAATTCACATACTTGTCAAATAACACCCAAGGCACACATCATGTGTTCTTTGATAACTCTACCCAGTAGTCCAATCAGCATCTGATGTGTTCATGTTTTCAGTTTACCACTGACCATAAAAACATGAATAAGACCATCTGAATGTCTCTTCCAGTTCTTTGTGTTCAGTAATACAAGTGCTGACCATTACGTTTGGAAGTAGGGAAGTTGCCGAAATCTCCATATGGTCACTATATGCTAGTGTGTGTCCCATATGGAGGATATTTTTCCGGTATGGCAAGGGAACAACGAGTTGGCCAAACTCTTGTTCTGCTATCCCTGCTCTCCGGTATAATAAGTTTTTCTTCATATAGAAGTCTCCTCTTTCAAGAGGTTGATGGGCATTAGGCAACTTCCTAAAACAGGACTTGGAGCAAAAAATATATAATGCTTGTGAGCTTCACCAGGTTACTGACTGTTTGAAAACAATATGTCCGTGGAGCAGTCTTCTACTTGCATGCCAACATGTTTTATGGCTTTTGAAGCCTCAGATCTAAATAAAACACCGCGTTGATTAGATTTGTCTGAACTTAGATGAAGAAAGTAGCAAAATAGACATGCTTTAGTACTTTACAGTCAAACTTTGATGTGGAATAGCTCTAATATGTAAAAATAAAAAGTAAAGATCCCTTTTCACGCCTTTAGGCATATTGGGTATATGGGAAGAGGGCCCATATTTTTACAGACCATCGGCACTAGGTGGGTAATGTGGTCAGCATTATGCAGGCCATCTTTACTTCCCCAGGACAGCCATCCTGATACCCATTTTAGGCTGGGTTGACCTGCCGTACCATGATAACAATCTACGCAGCCAGCAATGGATTTAGATTGCGGTACGTTGGAATTACGAGTCGGACTCGCAATGCCTAAGCCATGGATGCCGCATGCTCTGATATGTACCTTATGCAAAGTGTACAATGATGACAAAGTCAGCTGGCACAGAAAGAATAAATATTTATGAAAAGGTGATTTTATCAGTGTCAGTTAGTTCTAGAGCTATTCTTATTACTTAGGAACAGA